TTAGGAAACTAAAATCAGGTAATAATTAATTAACGGAGCTGAAATCCTAAAATATTAATTCTTTCCCACGCCGAGTGCTGTCGGATGCTACAAAAATAATTTACATATCCCTACGGGAGCAATTAGAAACTAAACACGATGATAAAAAACAAATCAATTACTTTTACCTTCTCCTAGTAAAGATCTACAGTTTTTCGTAACGAATTTTCCAAATTTATATCACGTTTACATACCGGGTGGTCATCAAAGCTGGTAGATCTGATTGCAGAAAATGAATGGCTTCAGCGATAACATTATCTATTTTTTAAAGAGAGAGTGTATCATATGTTATATAACTCTTTTTTCTGTTATAAGAGATTAACGAATCTAAATTCCTTTTGCGCCAGTAACTTTCGCATAAAATTTCCGTAGAAATTTTTTTATCTTCTTTTGAACTGGATATCTTTTTTTCTTAAAAACGGCAAAGCTAGAAGCAAAAGTGTATCGATCGGTATTGCCATATTCATTTGAATAAATTACAATAATAAATAATATTAATAAATAACAGTAGTTTATTCATAGAATGGAAAAATTATAATTATAGAAGCGTCACAAGCGTTGGCGGTTTACCAATTCTGAAAACAGTAAATCATGGCGAGTTCTAATATAATGACAAGGTGGGGGTCCTCCAATTAAAGATAATTTTGTTATTCGTTGGCATAACAATATGCCTACCTACAATGCTCTATTTCAAATAAAACACAAAGATTGACACAACAAAACACCACTAAATATGTTCATTTATATTTTAAAGTAGAGAAAGAGTACCTTTGCATCTTTTTGATAGTTTGCGTAAGAAATGTGTAAAGAAAGCGCGAAGTAACTTAGAATAGGCAGAAAAGAAAGATGCACAGAAGGATTTGCGAAAGAGGTTTGAGGAAATCGCTCAGAAAAAACGTTTAGGAGTGTGAAGAACGCGCCAGAGAAGATTAATTATTATAGAGACGTGAAAAGAGATGTGGAGGAAACTCTATGGAAAGAAGTGATAGGGAGTCGTTAATATAGGAGTATATGATCCATTCGCGCAGCGGAAACTCGAAGGAGGCATTTTGAAAGCACGAAGGAAATATGAAAGGGGCGAAAGAATGTGAAAACAAAGAGAGAAGAAGTAGTGAAAAAACATGAAGGAATAACAAATAACAAAATACAGACTGCGCGTCTTTGGAGACCCTTCAAATTCAGTTGCAAGTTCCCAAGAGTCATTCTAAGCAAAGGCTTTTCCGGTGTTGCGCAGAACAGGAGAAGGAAAGCCAGGATGGCCCGACTAACTAGCCTAAGCGAAATCTCGGGCGGAAGTGAGATATTTAAAATGGCGGCCAATTTGGCACATTTTTGCACTGAAAGCTTTGACATCACCAGTAGATTGCCTTTTTGAGTACCCTCTTCCGACACTTCGTTGTGAAGGTATTTGCTTCGACTTCATCAATGAATATATCTCATCGAGTCGATTCATTTTCACACCACTAAATATGTTCATTTATATTTTAAAGTCGATAAGTCCTCGGACAAACCGTTTTCGAGATTCGCTCTTAATGTTTTTGACATCACCAAGGGATATATTTCTTCCAGACCTCCCAATCGCCCTTTGTGAGTACCCTCTTCCGACAATCCGTTCTGGAAATAATAAGGGAACATATGCGATCACGATAAGGGGTCCAGGAGGAGGACTACGGTTGGTAGAAATTAATTCCTTTCGTTGAGTACTATGAATAACCGATAAAACCAGTTCCACCTCCCCCCCCCCCCTCTCTTTTGACAAGGGGTCGAAAAAGGGCGATAGTTGGAAGAAAACAGTGCGTTTCGTTGAGACATTGAGCCCCCCCCCCCTCGCACATTTACCCCCCTCATCTCGAAAAAGACGTCTCGGGGCGAATAAAATAAAATGATGTAAAAGATGTAAAATTTGCATTCAATTTCGTACCAACTTAACCTTAATACTAAACAAACTAAATCTTTTAGAGTTGAAAATGAATCAAAAACGGTAATAGGCTAGAAGAATATGTGAGGAAGGCAATAGTTGAAACTACTGCTCAAGCAAAGGAAAGTAGAAAAGGACCAACAGTTGACGGAGGTGAACGGGTGAACCGAACGCGTAGGCCAGCTCGGTAAATTTTTTTACAATAAAACTAAAATGCATTTTCTCTCCTTTTCTGTAAGATCCACGTCATCCACTTCTCACATCATCCTCCCTGATCCATGAGCACCTGACTCGGACTTCTCCCTATCATTTCAACTTTCGTACAGTTCCATAACATGACGTGTTCTATGTCCTTTTCTTCCTCTTCCGCATATTCTACATTTTCTTTCTTTTGTTGTCGCCATTTCTCTTAATTAATCATAATTTAATTTTTTAATACATAATAATTAAAAATTAAAAACAGAAAATAACTGGAATTTAATTTTTTTTTAAAATTTAGTTATTGTTTAACCGGAACCGAAAATTACTGACGACACAAAACCACAAAAAATAATTCTATTAAGTAGTACGGAACCGGAACGTATGTATATTTCATATGGGTTCCGACCCCTGTTCGGTATAGGTTCTCTCTGGTTTTGGGGGACACAAACGGAACGTCCCACCGTCAGCTTCCGCTTCATTGTCCCCCAATACTTATTTATTGGACGGAGCTGGAGACCATTTGGTGTATTCAGCTCTTTGGGGATGTAGTGGACTCCATTGTCCTGGCTGTAATGGGAACTGTTTAGATCTTACCAAAACGTAACTGGACCATCATGTGACTGAATGAACGGTAAAATGTAATGTTTGAGGCACTTCCTCTATATACTTCCGAATTCGTGGAAGTTCCTCAAAATTACTCCCGAAACGATCATAAAAAATGGGCCCAAATTTAAAATTTCAAAAATTCAAATTTTTATTTGGAGCTCTATTGTGCATTGGCACCAGTTCCACAGCTCTACAGAGTTGCTTCGAATTCCATCTCGCTATATTTCCAAAAATGGAAAGTTTTGGTTATTATAAATAATCACGATCTAGGAACTGAGGTACTAACTTCTTCTTTTTTTAATTATGGGACCATCCCCACCACTTTTTTGGTTCAGGGACCTGGTAAAGGGGATTTCCCCGTGAACTAACTTAGGAGCGGCCTTGTTGGAATTGTTTTTTTAGGTAAAGTACGATTCAAAACAATTAATAATCGATGGAAATGCATAAAGATTTTAAATTAATTAGATTACGAGTCCTGTACCATTTTTCAAAATTGGCCGATTTGTTTGTGGTTTTGCGATTTTGTATTTAATTGGCGGACTCGCGCTCTGATTGATCGATTTGGCGGTTTCGCGTATCTCTCTCTCTCTCTCTCTCTCTCTCTCTCTCTCGCACTCTCTCTTTGTTTGTGTATTTTGAGATAGCCTGAACTATATAAAATTAAACTCGAAAATTTTTACCAAAAACCTAACACAAAGATTGGAAATAAAAGTTTTAGTATTTTATCTATAAGTTAAACGTTTATTTGTTGTTTATATATATAAAATATGTATGCTGAGAAATACTATTATAACGCTCAAGCTGCAAAATGCTAGGCGCTACAATAGTATATTAAGATACAAGTGTATAATCAAGTCTTTAAAGCACGCGCAACGAGTTTAAGGGCACGACGCAAAGCGGAGTGCTTTTAACGTTGCAAGTGCTTTAAAGACCAATTATACACGTGTATCTTATAGTATTTTTTATTATACCTGCAGTATAATTTAAAAATAGGAAATACAATGAAATCATATTGACGTTATACTCGAATACATGTCTAATTAAGTGGGCTGGGTGTTCGTAATTTCACGATTGCCATGGAAATGTCACTTGACGTTTGTTTATAAAAATCGTCGTCTTTGTGAATTAAACGATTTCCGTTGAAAAAGATAATACACCGTCCATTAAATCGATTGTTGTAAAATCTAAACAAACGTTGGTAGGTGTAAAATCCAAATCTAGTAAAGCCTATTATAAAGAATATGAAAAGTTGTTTCCATGGATGAAAAGGAAGTTACTTACGAATAAAGTCTTAAATGCATCGATAATGCTGGGATATATGAAGGAAATGCCAAAGGTATTTAAATCTCCTATCTTTTGGTGCCTTAACTCAAAACTTCAAACAATGCTGCGATTAAAAGTGGAACAGATTTGGAAGCATACCCTAAATTACGCGCGTTTGTGAAACCTTCAACCAAAGGATAGGTACAAGCCAAAGAAATGTTCTGCATTTACAGACAGCGACCTAAGAGGATCTTTTATTTCAGCCCCAGATGACAGTTTCAAAAGTCATACTTGAAGTATCGTTACTTAGCAACTTTAAAGCACGTGTGTTTTAAAGGCCTTTTTTCGCACGCATTTGAGTGTTTAAAACGGAGATTGTGATTCAGGTATAATAAAAAATACCATGTGCTTTAATAAAAAAAAAAACACACGCCGCTGACCGGCCAGCTAGCTCTGTTGACCAAATAGTAAACAGCGGAGAGAGCAAGACAAATACACAGGGTAGTGGGTGACAACAGAATTAATACATTTGGTAATGGCTCATCATATATCATCGATTCCAAATAAATCTTCACTACTTACTTTTGTGGCTTCTTGTAAATTTCCTGGGCGCCACCTAATTCCAATATAAGTGTCGCTTACACTACCGGAACTAGGAAAGGTAGCTTTAGCTTTAAAATAGGCAACTAATGACCCACAAATAAAAAGTTTTATTCGGTGCACTGCACCATGAAATAAATTCAAAATTGCACAACTTAGATTCCCCACTGGGAATTCATAATCTTATTTAAGGTAAGCAGCAACTCCAAATATGAATCTCCCCCCCAAGTTAACAAAAGAAGGGGTTTACATAAAATTTCCCATAAAATGTTGAATAAAATACACCAGAATCTCTGGAGTTAACACACAAATATCGTTACAGTGGCAAAATAATGAATTAAATTGAAAATAGATACCTTAATTTATAGCTTGAGTGGGCAATGAAATTATTCGGTTCTTACGAGCTCGTTCGTACCTTACATAAATTGTTATCACTCCATAACGAGAGTAATCTCTTGACTAGCTAAAATATTGTACCCCAACAATGTCAAGCTTACCAATTAACAGTAATAATCTTGGCTCTATGCAGGCCAATTATCAATTGATCACCACCGAGGTGGGTCAAATGCAAACACACAAATTTACAAAAAGGATTAACAATGCTACATCACCGTACGATCAATATTTAGGTCTTCTTTTCCACAGGTCCTGGTATATGGTTGCACGTTGAATGACAAATGCTGCTCTAAGTGTTACACAAAGTGTCGGAAGCAAGGTAGCGGCTTCAAGATATGTACGACTCGGCCATTAAGTTATTTCAATGGTTTGATGCTAGATCGTCACACTGCACTCCAGTACTTAGTCGATTTACTTTCCTATGCCCCCTTATCCGCAACACAATGTGGTCTATAGTTTCGTTTCACAGGTAAACAGTCGGATCGTAGTTCTTGACCCCAATACGTGAACTCTAAAATAATAAACTAATGGGTGGTACGTTTTTACACAAGAATAAATGCGAACCTCTACATGGAGAGAGTCAACGGAAAATAAAAGAGCTTCGTGAACGTACGAAAGTGAATGGAAGTTATCCTACGATCGTTGTCAGAATGGTCCCCTAAAATAGAAATAACGGTAGTGTGGATTCGAACACACAGAGAACTTACAATTATGCTTACGTTCCTTTAGAAGAACTCCTTTCGGATTAAATGGTTACCATGCCCAAAAAGAAATGGCAGGTACAATGATGGTTCACTTGTTTTTTTTTAAAGATGCTTTCGCCAAATTGTTGAAAACAAATGAACAGGAACTAAATTAGCACTTAAATCAGGATGAACCGCACGACCGTTCTCTTCGGGTTAGCAAGTAAAAACACGCTGAATTTTTCCATTTCCGGCCCCAATGAAACAACGAAGTTTTGCTCCAACCAATAACGCGGTCAATCGAAGCTTACAATACCATATATGGTTACGGTATCAAATTACATAGGTTATCTAAAGCGGAAATTGGCTTTTAGACCAATAATAGAAATATAAAACATTAAAACGGGCAGGTACGGAAATAAACGAATGTGAAGGTTACAAAAGGTGACTACCACAGAATAGAAAAGTTATAAACAGGGTGATTGAAATGGAAATACGAACAAAATGTTGATATAATAATAAAACTGTTACACTGTACCATAATCATCGATGCTCGGTTTACGTTTGAACGATTACTCACTAATGGGACGAATTTGTACCGTTAAGAGTTATATTTATTTATTTATTATTAATTTATTATCCCCCTCTTGTTCTGGGCCCTCAACAGGCTCGCGCCCAATTACAGAGTGACCGGAGTAATGCTTTTTAACTAAAGCAAAACCGAATTTGTTGCTAACTTGAAAACAATAAGACATGATGGAAATGAACAGATGCGCGCACTAATGAAATGTCCGGTATCTTAATATGGATAAACAATTTACTGCTCAAAGGCTTATAATTTGTATGATTTTATATTTTACATGGTATTTTATACACAAATCTGTTGCTAATTATGAATGAAAAAGCTAATATGGTTTTGCTGTTATAATATTAACAAATGATTGTTTCTGGCATCATAATTTATACGTATCCGAATTCTTAGCTAATTATAAACAATGAATCGATGCACTCGCTAACGGTAGTTTTGATGTCTTAATATTATATTTGCATAAACATTTTAGTAATATCTTAAGAGGTGGGCGCCAACCTTTTAAAGGCGCATATTTTGCGTCTCATTAATCAGAAGGAAAAGTGGATCTAATTAATACGCCCATCTATACATAAAAGCGCCCAATTTGGAAATTAGCTACTAGTTTTGCATTGAAATTATAATTGCGCATAATTCTTGAACATCGTTGGACAATTACTATGGGAGAAATTGTGCGGACGTACGGATTTACATAAGTTGACGGACTATCGGGGGGCATCGGGATAAATTCCGGTATTTATTTGTGAGGCACGTCGCGTTTAAAAATAGCGCGCTGTTAAAGTTGGGATTAGAAGAAAAATGTAAGTAATGTAAATAAAAAGAATCGCGGCACAGACATTAAGAACGGTGGGCGATAGAGGAAAATTAGTGTCTATTTCTGGCCGTAAATTAACGATTAGGTTAATTTAATATTAAAGTGGCACGTAATTCGTGATCTATATAGTACCATTCTGTATACATCAACGGTACCACTAACACATCTTGGGTGGCGGTGTCTATTTATAACATCAAAGTCTATCGTAAACCATTTATATAAATAATTGCTATGTGCGAGCTTTGACCGAAGGATTCGTTAATTAGTGTAGATTACGGTGTCCCGTTTCGTAACCGGTAATAATAATTTCACATGCACCCCCTGATATTACGAGCTAATTCGGTGTGAATGCAACTCTTTAAACTGACAATGCTACCCACTTAGGAACGATTTAATAATCATAACCCCCAAATGATCGTGTATCTGGCAAGTGTAAAGAGACCACCAGTATTCATCCCCTATATGAAATATTGTATGATGTTATTATATCCAGTTAGGGGAATTTATAATCCGTATAATTTGGTTGCCCACAAGCTTATTTCGCTCGAGTGCCTGAAATGGTAACAAGTGCGCGCACTTCTTTATAAATGGAGATTTCGATGCGAAAAAATAATTTGAAGAGGGCGATTGTAGTGCCTATTTTTATTCCGTTCACGAACCTCATTTCGTATGCTTTCATTAACTACCGATTCAATTGCTTACTTTAACGTCTCCAAAAAAACTCGTATCGTATCGGCGACCGCGTCTTATAAGAGAGGAATTAGAAATTGCGGCAACTGCACAAATTCCTCGAGTGGGATGAAAAACGCTCCCAAAGAAAATTTCGCAATCAAATCAATATTCCATAAAACACCGGCAGCGGTTCTGTACGCATTTTACGAGTGCTGCACGCATGGCAATTAGAAACTGTCGCATTTCGCAAAGAACATCCCGTATATTACGCGATGAGAATTTTTGATCGAATCAGCGTTTATTCCTACGCTTTAAATTCAATAATTCGATCCAACCACCGATCAGTGGTACCTTTTACCCTTGTAGTATGCGTATTGCACTATCAGAAAGTGAGCGAAAGCCGAAAATCAGGTCAAAGCTCGACGAATACAAAACGGAACTGTATCAATTGTTTTCTTTTTCAAGTTGGGTCCTGATCCTGATGACAAGTTCGTGATTTTGGTTTACACGTTTTAAACAGTTTTCCGAAGTGTAAATTGTTGGGGGAAGGCAGCCAGTAACAATATGAATACTTCTATGCTCATATTGCTTTCTCTCCATACTATCAAAAAGGATTTGAGCATTTTTTGAATCTCTTACATATGGGATATGGAAACTTTAAATGAATATCAAATATTGTACAACAAGGTCTCATAAAATCGCAAATTTTTGAATTTTCTTGTCGATTTAGAATTTCGTTGCCCTTGTAAATTTAGATTTCAAGAAAAATTAGACTGAATTCGGATTTTGATAAAACCTTAAATTTTTTGTAGCAAGTATACGGACAAAATTGTGCCCAATTACCGTTCCCGTGTTTCTAAAATATTTGTGGTCACCAGTGCCGTATCAAACTTACGTTTTTTTTAAAAAGTAGGGCACTCCATATTTGATTGCAAAATTGAAAAGTACTCCAAAAGCACTTTTTATGTAATATATTATAGCGAATATTCCAGAAATCCCGATAGATATCGAGGCGCCATGAAAGATTAGTCATCGTAGGCGGATATGACGCAATCTTTCCGGGAAATATGACGTGCTTGTTCTAGAACATTCTAGAAAGAATATTGTTTACTATATAAGCAAATCGAATTGTGTTTCGAATCAGTTCCAATTTCGACGCCGAAGTAATAAATAGTTCACGCTATTACAAATTATGATAAATAATATTTTAACTGTTCCAAATTAATTTATGTTAAGACATAGATTTATTGTTAATTAATTATAAATAACTGAAGCACGTAATTAAATTTACGTTACAATATTATACCCGTAACTGTAACGATTACGCTGTTATACCCATTTTTATTCAAAATTTGACAGTTTACCTATCGAATTTTTTTCAAAGAAATTAAAACGCGCCGCCGCTTCAGTTTTGAATTGAGGCACAGGCTGAGACCTCTTTTACTTTCACATAATTTTTTAGGTCCTTTATCGAAAAACAAAAAAAATTTTTGAAAAAATAGTTCATAGTCAAATAGCAGATCACTTTGAATTTAACAATATACTAGATAATGACCAATACGGGTTCAGGAAAGGACGAAGCACAATCCAAGCTTTGAGTAAACTTGTAAACAACACCCTCGCTTGTTTTGAAGAAGGTCTCTATTCACTCGCAATATTTTTAGACCTATCAAAAGCATTTCATAGTGTCTCGCATAATATATTACTTAGTAAACTGGAACGGATTTATAATTTCGACCAAAACAGTTTAAAACTTATTGAATCATATCTTTCGGATAGATCTCAATATTATGTTATAAATGAAAATATCATGTCCGATAAGCTACATACCAAACGAGGGGTTCCTCAGGGATCCATATTAGGACCATTGCTCTTTTTAATCTACTTTAACGATTTTCCCCAATATATGAAGCCACATGCCGACTGCATTCTGTATGCAGATGACTCCAATATTTTCTCAAAACGGCAAAATTTTGATGAAGTTTTAGCGACCAAAGAAGAAATAACATCTCTGGCCTCTACATGGTGTATAACCAATGACTTGATCCTAAATAAAGGAAAAACAGAAGTGTTACTAACTACGTTAAGGCATCACACCTTTGATAACCCTAGTTTTGTAAAATTTTTAGGGCTAGTCATTGATGAAAAGCTAAGTCTGGCGGCACATACTAATAGTATATGTAAAAAAATCAGTACCAACATATATGTTTTACGAAGACTGACCGACAATGTGTCAAAGCCAATTTTATTAACAGCATATTATTCGCTGATACACATGTTAATAAACTACGGCTTATTCATATGGGGTAACTGCGCCACAGCCAAAGATGTCTTCGCCCTGCAGAGAAGAGCGATACGTATAGTTGACTCATTAGGTTATCAGGAAGAATGCAGAGACTCCTTTAGACAATTGCAAATACTAACCCTGCCGAGCATGTGTATACTAGAATGCATACTCTATGCCAGAATTAATACAGATAATTTTAAAACCCATGCAGACATACATTGTCATGATACGAGAAACAAGAACAATATTAGGGCAGCTTACGTTCGACTCTCTAAGACGCAAAGTAATCACCAGTGCCAAGCTAAAAAATTCTTTAACCTCCTACCAAAGAGTATCCAATCATATGATATAAAAAAACTAAAAGTAACCCTTAAACGATATCTAACATTAATAGCATATTTTTCCATACAATAATTTGTAAGTGAAGGCTTTAGAGAATCAGAGTGATTTTAAATTTAAATTGACTATTGTATTAAGTAAATATATAAGTACATTACATATGTTATTTAACTAGAAAAACTTGACGAATGTAAGCGCTACTGTGCAAAACATGAAAATATATTATTATTATTATTATTATTACGTTTGTTTTTACTAAAAGCATCTTTGGTTAAAATTTCAAAAAAAAATTTCTCTATAAATAAGAAAGTCTACGCATGCGCTATGTGCGGTGTGTATGCCTTTACTAGAAGTATCTGTGGTTAAAATCTCAACAAAATATATTAATAAATAAGAAAGTTGACATTGCGTAGCCTGCGCATTCGCA